TTAAAAAATATAAAAAATACACGAATAACTCATGTAAAACACATCTGATTTTTATAAGATCACTTTAATTATTATACCACATAGGCCAAGAAGAACCCTCACGTAATAATTTTATTTTTAATTTATTTTAGTTGAAACGCGTACGATTGTTAAAATATCAAAGTGTAATCATTATTGCGCACTAAGTACCGCGATAACTCCTATTTCCCCGTACATTCTTTTTTAATTTGTTAAATATTAAGGAGTTCTATTCAATCTTAATCATTCTTAATTTTATTTTTTATGCACATAAAAACATAAAATGGCGCGTATACGACCGTTGACATCTTGGCACAGATTATCGTATTCAGCGTAGTTAGCAGTAGTCTTCTCTGCTGTCTTGCGCAAGCATAGACATGTCCATACACGTTTCAGTTACTGACAATGAGATATGCATGTCCCAACTCCCAACTTGCCGCTTAGCTCAACTAGTCGTGCTCTACCAGCTATCCTATTTGATGAGAAAGTGGAACTTGAGAGTGCACATATATGGAATATCCACACGGAGAAAATTTTATATTAAGTTTTAATACAATTTTAAATTACACTTTACTATGTCTTGTACTTTCGATGGACCATTACAACATGATTCCGACTTAACTTTTACTATCGTAATACTAATTTTTATCACGTAAATAACGTAATTATTTTATTAAACCAGTGCTTAAGCCATATTCTCTAACGTGAAAACAGTTAATTTTTACTATGGTACGCAAACAAAATTTGCTAGGTATATATTTTTTACTTATCTTTACAATACTAACTTTTATTTAACAAGTTTTGATTTTGCAATAAAAAATGTTTACTATGAAAAAGTGTAAAAATTACGTTGCATTATTGTTTTTAAAAAAATAGCTATAGCATTTAAACTTATAATTTACATATGATAGTCCGCAACTACTACCACATTATAGTAATTTTAAATATAAAATTTTCTCCGTGCAGGAATTAATTATTTCTTTAAATTGTGAATTTATTTTACTACTATTCATAAAATAAATCCTGCTACTTATATTAACAAAATGTTATTATTTATTTAATTAAAAAAATTACTTTAGCATAATTTAATTTTAACTATACTTATTAAAAGTTTCTTAATAAAATTATATATATTATAACAATTATGTTGAAAAAATATTGGCCAAAATTTCTATTAGAGGCAAATCGATTTTATAATACATAAAATAATAACGGTTAGCTTTGGGATACTCTGTATGTCGCAGAAATGTTAAAAAGATTAAAATTGTTTGGATCCAAGATGGGAATCAAACATGTACAAAATTTTTAGATATCTCAAAGGCGCTTGACATTGCCTTTTCATGAAGAGGAATTAGTGTTTTTATGACACAAACTGTAAAATAAACGAGCCACAAACGCAACGAGAGATATATATTCCATGCGCTGTGAAATGCAGTTTAAAAATGGAATTCAACTGGAAGCCGCTCTCCCCACAAGCTGCTGCCTAATTATTAATTACACCTGGTGTCGTATATCAGCTCTTTATGACAAGTTAACGCAAAACTTTGAGTTGCATCCGGCGCGTAATTAAACCGGGTTCAATAAAATTACACCGCCTTGTCTTGGTGTAACGCGTCATCGCCTTGCTGAAATCCCGCATACTTTCGTCGTCTATCGTAATATTATTATTCTAAACTATCCGTATATAACTTTCCTCACTCTACAATGCACAGTCAACCTTGTCCAAAATGTCTTCTCGCTTCGATATATCTCATGTAAAAGAGCTATTTTGGAACACGAAGTGTCCCAGAATTGTCAATCTTCATTTCAATAACTAATTTCTTGAATTCTGATTCTATTTCACGTTTTACGTAAATTTATTTTAGTTCATTATCATTTATTGTAACGTCATTAATTAAAACTCCGAAGAAATGAAACTCATGCGAAATTAAGTAACGTACATGTTTGTACTATTTATCTTACTTTTTATCTTATTATTTAATTTTCATATATTTGATATGAGAAGAATTTTTTCTTTTTGAATTGTTTATAGTCTAAAAACTACTGATATTTTAATTGAAGAAGTCTGTATAGTTTAATAAAAAAAATATTTAAACATAAAATAGAAGTTGTATATCGATATATAATTTTTGTACGAAAGGATTGTTTAATATTATCGAGAATTAAATTTTATGTAAAATTAGATAAAGGAAATATAATTTTATTATTTTGTTACGTATTTTTAATTTTTCGTATACCAAAAATATTTTTTATTTTTGATCGATTATTATGATCTAAAAACTGATCTCTACGAATAGTTTGTTGAAAAAATTTCAAAATTATGTAAAATAAAAAATAAGTAGCAGTATGTAACTTCTCCAAAAGAATTTATTATACATATAATATGAGACACTGCAATTTCTTGAGCAGAACTGAGAATTTTTTCGATTTATAATTTAAGCGAAATGGCCGTGTCTGAATTATTCGTCCACACGTCACACGTCAACGTCAGTCTGATCATAATTAATCGAACCTAGTCATTGAGGTTTAATGCACGTGCGCGAGTGAGAGGCCGGCGATATGATTAAACGAATTGGCAATCGAGAGATCATTCAACAGTTCCCGCCGTCAGGAGGCGCGGTCGGACGGGAATGACAGTAGAGAGCGTTGATTAACGAACTGATTGCAGCTAACGTAATTAATTATTAGCTGCGCTAGTCCGCGCGTCGCTAGAAATTCCGCGAATAGCTCTAATCAAACACAGCGCACGTTGTCATTAATTTTTTAAACATTTATTCAACGAATCTAATTTGAAATTCGTATCATTTCATAGAGAATCTAATTTTAATTGCTTGAATAATTATAACGTATAATAGATAATTAAATAGACAAATACATAAACTTTGTTGACGTTAAATTACTCAATTAGTAAGCATATTAGGAGGAGATTAGATCTGCATGGATTGGCTGAAATTTTGGGATGTGTATTGCCAATTATAGTAAACAGATATCCGTTTACATATATATATAGACATCGACTATATACTCATTGTCAGTCGAGAAAGCAGAAAATGAAATCTTAAACAGAATTAAATTAAGTTATTAAATAACAATAAAACGACGTTAGAGGATTAAAGTAACATGAAAGAATTAAATTAAGTTATTAAGTAATATAATAATAATGTGACGATATTGCGAATAACACAACAAAAGTAGAAAATTTGGAGCTAGATATTAGTGCTTAATAATATTTCGCAGTGTGAATTTATATACATATCCGACTCTGTATAAGTAAATTATTTTAAATGAAAGAGTGATAATGCCTATGAGAGCCGAACACAGGATGTACGCGTATAATGAATTTATTCAATACAATACATTAATAGACGTTTCGATTCTAATGCGGATCCTTCTCGATATCGCAAAACATTTATTAGAATACAATTAGATATGGTTAAAACAAAACAAAATAAGAAAACGAATTCTGCGATGTGTAGCCGTGTCTTGTAATGTAAATGTGAGGAAATTGTAATGTCCAAGCGTATTTTCATTGTAATTAAATAATAAACGCAAAGACAAGTCACTCGGTGAATATATTAGTTCTATCTTTCGCTCTCATGTGATTAAATTATTTTAATTTAATTTTAATCAATTAAATTATCTGAAAGAAAAAGTGAATCTTTTAAATTTAATTTTAACCAATTCATTAAACTAATTGAATAAAATTAAATTCAACTGATTGATCAAGCTAATTAATTAAACTAATTAACTAAAAATATATTTAATATGCGTCCTTTATTTAGAAAATGTTAGAAATTTATTGTGTATATTACGTTTATTATTATTATATTATTGAATTTGTAACAAAATAGGGGAAGTTATTTTCAAAGCAATCAAGAAATGGATTTACATTGTTATTATATTGTTGATTGAGAAGTTACCAACATTCGAATCAAAGAAATACAAAGCGTGCACTCCGTAAACAACTTTGAAATAATGATTCGACGCAAATATGTTTTCGTTCATATGAACATCCGTCGTGTAAAAGTTATTAAATTATTAATTTTATGAGGGTATAATTTTGTAGCACCTTTTTACGTGATTAAAAAAGCAAATTTTATGACGTGGAAAAGATAATCTAAAAATATTTACTAATTTATTTAAGATATTTTATAATTTATTTATTACTGATTTATTTAAAGCTATTTTATAGCGTGACTAAAAAAGTAAATTTTATGACGTGAAAAATATAATAATCTAAATATTTACTAATTTATTTAAGGTAACAAGAAGTTTTCAATTATGTTTTATTGTAGTACTTGAGTTTTGCGTACGAACATGTTTGCAAAAATGTAACAAAAATGTTTTCAAATTATTTCAAATGTCATAATATTTCTATTTAAATATTTTATTCGAGAATTTAATTAACTCGTTGAACAATAAAATATCAAAAATATTAACCATTCGAGGCAAATAATAATCCAATTGGTCATACTCACCGCGAAAAAGCAAGGCTTGTATTTTGGTTAATTATCGGAATTACGATAACGAATGTAATTATCGTCACGTTTTGATGGAAAATTTATGAGATGGAAAAGCGTAATGAAACATGATGTTACTGAAGGGCAATTGCGAGTTGTATAAAATATATATCGACTATTTTATCAGGTTCATTCCCTTACTTATCTCCCTTCCCCATCCCTATATGCATTTTACGTAATAACCGGCGCCCATACATAGAAATACTCGTTCTTATTTTTGTATTTACAGATTTGGGTAACACACATACACATATAAAGATATTATTTGCGATATAATATATTGTGTTATATCATATAATAATATGGTATTATAATGTATAGCAATGTGATATTATAATAATGTATTAAGTAATGTGATACTATAATATATGATAATAGGTATCGAATAGATATATACGAGTATATAGGAAACGTATGTGTTTGCGTATACACACCTGCAATATTGTATGTTCCATGTTACAGGGACTCGCTAACGTGAACAGATACGACGACAAGCATCTGATGAACAATGAAGTCACGGACAAGACTCAGTCACCGTCGAAGGCTATATACAACGTGCAGTTACCATCCAGAAATACGGATTGCCCGTCGTCGTCCAAGCCCGCAATGGCCAACCGTCTCCTAGATTGGTTCTCCGTCGTGATGGCGGACTCCAAGCATCGCCGTCAGCATCCTAAGCCTAAAGGTAAAGAAATATACGGTGTAAATTTTAATGCGGCTGTTTGCGAAATACAATTAATATCGGATCATTCTAACTGACGTATGTATATATAGGTTTGTTAATAAATTTTGATGTTCCTTGTTTATCAGAAATTGCGTCGACACCTGCTACTAAATTACCTAAACTTTCAAGCACAACTTGGTTATGCATTTATTAAATATTTTGCTTTTCACGGTGCACATCCTGTCGATCTACGAAAGTCTCATTAAGCAGCCGTCTGACGTCGCGTACAACCGCGGAATGCGCTTTGAGCGCATTGAAATGTTTCCCGCGGGATACCGAGGGGGTCCTACAAGGAAGACTAATTGTTCCTGTAGGAGTGGACGGTCACCGCGACGTACGGGACGCTACTCGTGGTAGTTGCCGAAGTACCGACACTGCACGCCATTCGACTTGGAGACAATCAGTTTCGTACCCAGTTCGAAATTGTCCTGGTACAATGAATCGTTTCCCGCCTCGGGTACGTCGCGATTACTTTGGGCGGTACTATCTGTCGATATTGTCCTCCCAGTTCCCATGTTGATCTTACGGTATTACAGTCGCTCGGGGCAAAACAAAGTGTACTATGCACGTAGGTACGATCCCGGCTGAATCGAGAGGATGGTTTGACTAACCATCCTCTGACCACAAACGGGAGAATAGTCCCGTGATTGTGTTGGACCCGAGTGATCGGGTCTAGCTCAAGGACTGATCGTCTTTTCGTTCTGAACGAATTATAATTTTTTACGTTATTTTTTTATTTACATTATTAATTATAAAAAGAGATAAATAGTAATGGAAAGTAAAATCGAAAGCAAAATCTTCATTTATTGCGCTAAATTAAATAATCCTCCTATAAAATGAATACGGGAATAAATAAAATTTTACCTTTTTGATTGAGTTTTTATCACATTGAGAGTTTTTTATGTTAAAAATTTAATTCTTAGATAATAATTTGCAGCCGAATAAAATAGAGTCTTTGCAGGAATATCTTCACTTTAAATAAAACTATATTACCGTGCATTTTGTGTTTTTGTAACGCCAAATATCTTTATTTTTGATAACATGAAGATATTGGCCAATCGCTAATTTGTCCACACACGTATATACTTATCGATCCTTTTATAAAATCCCGATTTATAATTCGTGTCGGAATTTAGGATGAAATTTTATTTATGCCGTGACACATAAACAGAATTTCATTCTGAACGAATTTAATATGAATAGTATTTGATGAATCGAAATACACGCACACATTGCATGAAATATATATTTAAATACATATATAATATATCTTCTACTTCAAAAGCGATACAGCTAAAAAATGATTTTTGAATTATTACCATGAATGAGTTAAGTGAACATTACCTTATCAATCATAAAAAATGAAATAACTTTATTTACAAAATTGCCAAAATCGTTATAATTTAAAAAGGGTGTTGAAACAAAAATGACATTTTATTATGTTAAAAATGTATTTTTTTTTAATATGATATTTGATTAATATTTAATTCTCTGCGTTAAATTGAAAAATAGTTTTCCTTTTTTCTGGTAAATTTAATTTTTTTAGTTGTATTACTTTTGAAGAAAAAAGGATATATTAAAATATAATATTATACATAAAATTATAAAATGAAATTCTATCTTAATTTAATTCAAATTATACATTGTGTGTCTAAAACAAGCTTTAAGTGTGTTATAATATATATACATATATATGTGTGTATATATATATACATAAGAATCTATATATAATATAATGTACATGTATATGATTTCAGGTCACTTCCCAATCGGTTGTCAGAGCGAGGTCAGGTGGATGTTCGGACATTTGGACAGCGATAGTGATGGCCGACTCTCACTCTCCGAGCTGTATGGTCTGGAACACGACCAAAATGAACCGTGCTTAAAACCTTTCCTGGATAGTTGTGATACCGACAGGTAAGAGTCATCTGTGAATTCCTGTCCCGCACGTGAGGAGAGACTTTTCGCGATCGTAAATACATCTAAGACTTACACTTGGCATTTTTATTGTGTTCTTATCTCAATAATGGACGAACAGCGGGTGAGATCGATCGATAAATTCAGAATACGCGTTCAGAGATATTCAGACTATATATCTCTGAATGCGTATTCTTTCAAATCTTTTGAAATTGTAAGGGTTGTAATTGAAATTATAAGGTTGTCCTCAATTTAGAGAAATAGAAAATAAAAATTTAGACCTAATTGGATTGATGATATTTTTAGAAAGATGATAAAACACATGGAAATATAATGGATTTGAAATATAATAAATAAAGTGTCTGTTAATATAGAGACACCAAATACAGCTTGGTCTGATCAAACGTGTGATGTTACTACTGTGTCTGAACCCATGCGTTTATTAACTACTGAAATATATACAATTTTTTAAATGCATGTATCAAAAATTCCTCATTATTTTGCATTTTATTACTATTGCGTAATATTTTATATATTCTCTATGTATTATATATATCTCTTTATTCTGCACATTTTTAATAACGCTAATTTCTTATATTCATATTATTCTCAAAATTTCATATTATAAAAATTTTACATGTGCTGTTTTCACTTATGTGATTGCTGTCCTCTATCAATGTAAAATTAAACATTACATATTTAATGCAATAATGACCTAAGCGCTAAGCCGTGTATCTTAAGATCCATCCAATGCTTATATCTATACTGATATATGGGACCATACAGTTTAACGCCGAATCCGAACGGCGCTGGTGATCAAAGGTGTTTTAGGATTATGGCACACAAAAAAACTTAAGCAGTAAAACGTAAGCAGTAAGCGAATTAGCCAATTACAGTAGAGATCGTAAGACCATAACATAAAGCAATAACCAATCCAACATATTGATTTCCTTTAACATAAGACGTAAGCAGTAAGGAAATCAACATGTTGGAATGGTTATTGCTTACGTTATGACCTTACGGTCTCTATTGTGATTAGCTAATTCACTTACTGCTTACGTTTTACTGCTTAAGTTTTTTGTGTGTCATGGCCTTTACCAGATAATCACCAGGTAGAACCATTTTCGGCTCCTTAAACGCGAATAATCGCATATGTGGGCGCAAGTGGGGTGATTGAATCCGGATCTACAGATCGCGAATCAATCGCACCAAGCAGCAAGCCACTCGACGCCTTGTAAGATAAAACTTTTAAAAATCGATAGGAAAATGAGAGACATACATAAAGCTATATTTTCGGCATTATATTTTCAGCGATATTTTTGTGAGCGGTCCTGAATGGTGCGGATGCTTCTCTAAAGCTGAACGTCCGTGTGCCGCTGTGCGTAGACGATCATCGCCGGATTCTGCACCTGCTTGCGATTCGCGAGGATATTACCGCAGTACTCAGTGTCATCGGGGCCTTGGTCTCTGTTGGTGCGTCGATCCGCATGGCGTCGAGTTTGCTGGTACCAGAACGCGCGGTGCAAAGCCTGACTGCGGTATGTTTTATATCGCTTGGATAACAAATATTTAAAATGATAATAAATATTTAAAGCACTGGAATTAGTGATATACAATAGTAAAATAATAAATAATTTCAGCGCATCAGCGCGTGTAAAATTACGAGGAAATTAGTAAGAGGTCTTTATTCGGAATCATATGCAGATTTAATATTTCGTCGTGTACTTAGATTTAAATGTGATGTCCGACAACTCCAAATCGAAATGAAAATAGATAATAAAGCTATCTAGAACTTAAAGTAATTTCTTTTTTTGTATCGAGATTCAGATTGGACCTATTTTTCTACAATTTTCAAAATTGAATATTTTAATAACACATGATTAAATTTAAAGTTTTTGAAATAAATCTTATCTTAAATAAGATTTTTTCATTTCTAAATTGTACTCTCTAAATCTGAATCAGTGAGTAGTCACTGATATCAATGCCAAGTATGCCACTGGTAATCAGTGAATTAAATGTGAGATCCCTGACCTAGCTAATTTATTATGTGATCTAACTGACCTTGTTTTAGTGCTTAAATTCAATGAATATGATATTGGAAAATTGAAATTAACGTGCAAATATCAGTATTTTAGTTAAATAATGCTCAAACATTCTTCCTTTTTTAGTTGAACTTTATTGATTATCAGTGCCAAGTATGCCACTGGATAATTAGTGACTATTCATTGATTCAGATTTAGAGAGTAATTAGTCACACACAAAATGAATCGCAGTTTAAAAATTCCCCTACAGCGCAAAAGTTGCAGCAACAATATTGCATGTTACAGCAATATTGCAGCGTTATTGCAGCAATATTGCTACAAATTCTGTGCTGTATCGGCTAGTTTTTTACTTATTTTGCTAAACAATTATATTAGTTTTTGATAAACAATATCATCACTATTTTCGATGCTATTTCTAGTAATAGAATTAGGGAGACATTACATAATTGAATGTGTAAATAGTAGGTCTGTGTTCTTTTCAGTTAAAGTGGTTGCACGGTTTATGTTTCTTCCTTTTCTTTCCACTTTGGAGAGAAAAAGAGAAAAGATGAACCGTACAAGGAGTTCAGCTAAAAAGAACAGGCCCAGTATTACATATTTTTCTTGCGAAGTACACGATCATATTCTTAAATTCACTTTTAAACTGCTTTACAGATGCAATTGTGAATAAGATCAGCAGCGGTGGGCTCAAAACCAACAGTGTGGACCTTGATGACGATGAGGACGGCGGTACCGACTCCTCTCAGGATCTCGAAGGCTCAGCCGATCAACCTCTAGATTTCTAGACATATTAAAGGCGGCGGCTAGCAACGGAAACGCAGCATCTTTAACCGAGCATCTTTTAAGAGCAGAGAACCGATTGTATGGTCGGAGAAAAGTGAGGGAAGGTGCGCGCGTTCGCCAGCTTTAGGAATACCGCCGAGTTGTGATCAGAGGTGTTCTATGTCATCGGGCCGCCTGTCGAGGTCCACGCGCGACGAAACGAAACGTGAGCCTAAATGAGTTCCGAGAGCAACGAATAAGCACGACGATCATTAGTTATGAGGAGGTCGGATTCGTAGCGAATCGCGCTGCATGGAACCGGAAAGGATCGTTGTCGAATCATCGTAACGACCTTAGTCGCGTCCTTCGTCCCAGTTAGGAAGCTCCGATCGACATTTAAAATAGCGAGTGTCTTGCCATGTTGTGCAATAATCGCGTATGTCCACCGGTAAGCGGCGTCTACAGCCCGTTCTACGCAATCGTAGATCCCGTGTAATCATAATACCGTGCAATATCCAATAGAGTTCGTGTAGAGAGTACGCAGATATGGCCGAAAGTGTATGTAAGTGTATGAGAATTGCTGGTGACGGAGTGAGAAGGGGAGAAAATTCCGCTGCGAGCCGCGCAGAACACCAATCGTTGGATTACCTCCGTGCCTGTCGAGGTATCTCCACGCACAATTAAAAGTATAAATAATATAATTACGTATCATTTATGCATACACAAAACAAAAACGAAAGATATTCATGAAATAAGGAAGAAAGGCCGAATAGGACGAGATAATTTCGTCGTATTGACCAGAAGTCACGCGTCGTGACACAAATTGCATTTAACGGAAAACTGTAAGTGAAAAACCCTATAAGCGTATGATTTCTAATTGCTAGATTAACAATTATAATATTGAAACATAATGTTAATTATGAATAATACGAATTACATAATAACAATGCATCAACCGAACAAAATCAAACTGGTTGAGAAAAAGGTACGAGAGCGGAGAGAAAAGGCGGGCGGATGTGTGAAGTCATTCTGCTACTGTCACACTTGCACACGTTGAAACTTAGTTGAATCACTCGAAGCAAATAGGTTTTCGTAGCTCTTACTCCTTCACTTTCGGCTGTGTTTCGCCGAACGCGGTATAGAAAATCTCACCGTTATTCCGCTTATTTATTATATTCTCTCGGGCAAGCTTAGAGTTCTTTAAGTTATTCTTCTTTCTCTCAACCATTTTACGTTATAAAATTAGTATAAGACATACAGAATAAAGAACGACCTATTTCGTACTCGTTAATGTCCTATTTCATACTACGCAGTTCAATCACGATCATAGGACGTCGAGCTGGTTGTTAAGAAAAGTGCGAGATCGCTTAGAAAATAACGTGAAATATTATTATGTCTCTATTAGACATTACGCGACTCAATTCGCGCAGAGCATTAGAATTCTTTACGTCCGCAATCGGAATGACATCCATCGTGCAATGCTGAGAGTTGTTTTCTACAAAGCTAGAAAATGTTCGACGTCGTGATTCGTCTGCATTTACTGTAATTATAAGCATTTTTACTTACAACTTTTACTTAAAGAGTGTGTGGTACACCGTAGATATTAGAGTAACATGTAATCCGTAGAAAAAAGAAAAAAAAGATCAGTGTGACTATGTGAATATGCCCTTAGCGTTAGAAGGCAATTTACGTAGAAATAGTCGATGCAAAACCTACACGTGTCTCATTTAGAATGAAAGTGATAATTCATTTTGCAAGCCTAACGCGTTTCACACACTTCGACATGCATTCCTTCTACGAAGTATTCAGGGAAAATAATACTCGTCGTGTATATTGATCAAAGACAACACTGTATGTACTGAGATTTTGAAACACGTCAAACAGAATGTACATTTGATCTTTGTTTTTTCTATCAATGCGTTTTATTTCGATGGCTCGTGATTGCACGGCAATCTTTGTGATTTCATCGAGTTTTGTAACAAATTGTGTATTTTTATATTTTATTTTTATTCAAAGAATAACTTAATATCATTTTGTCAATTCATCCATAATGTCTTGCCTTAATGGACATGGCGTGTTAAACTTGCGCATTAAAGTATGTAGATGACACTTTAAAAAATATATCTACATATTTAACTGATAAACGACATCGTCCGCAATGAGCTAACGCATATTCCTTCCTGCATCGAGCGCAATTTGCATTCCGCCTGACTTATTGTACTGTCGACCTAGACTAATTAATATAACTACAAGCGAACGTAAAATAGTTTTATCGAGTCTTGCATATTGTATATATATGATTATATACAATGAAAATCATCGTCAGTGATCTTCGTACCATGATGATTTTTGTAAGGTATGCACTTGATCAAAGCGTAAAGAATTTTTACTTCATTCAAGAGCTACCGTAAATATCTTACTTAATCGGTATTGTACATGTGGCTGTAAGAATTCTTTATGAATAAAGATTGTTGTAGAAATCGGGGAGATGTTCTTGTTGAGAGCATGATATAGTAAATATAAAGTTTATTTACCATCTTTCATTTCCAGAGATTCAATACAAATTTGTAACAAACAGAAATGGGGTAGTATGACATTTATATGGGCATGTACATCTTATATAAAGCACTTTTTAATAAATTGTGGAAGACACCGATTCTCAGTAGGCCGTATTTTTTGCAGTACAAGATAAAAAAACGTTTTTAATATTTAAGGACGGCTCTCAAACTGCAACAGAAACAAGTCATCTTTACAAAATCCTGATAATCATAATAAATCATATATAATTTTGTGCATTTTTTTAGTCAACACATTCATGTTATATATTCACAGTAAAATTTTCCTAGGCTTACCAGTTTCCTGAATGCAATATATTAAAACCTTCATTGATTTTTTCAAATGGAAGATTATGTGTAATAAATTCATCGAGAATCAATTCTTTTGACAGATATTGCTCCACCAATTTCGGCACGCTTTGCTTTGATTTCCATCCACCAAACGCGGTCCCTTTCCATACTCGTCCTGTGACCAACTGGAATGGTCTAGTACTGATTTCTTGGCCAGCTGCGGCTACTCCTATTATTACTGATGTACCCCATCCTTTGTGGCAGGATTCTAATGCAGCTCTCTGAAAAATAATCTTTACAAGACAAATTCTTTTTCCGTAAACAAAATTAAAACATAAAACACGTACCATAGTATTTACATTTCCAACGCATTCGAAAGTATAATCTAATCCACCATCAGTCATTTCAATTAATACCTGCTGAATGGGTTTATCATAATTCTTGGGATTAACAAATTCTGTGCAGCCAAAAGTTTTAGCTGTAAATAAGTATAAAGATATTTATGAAATTTTATCACAATAATTATAAGAAAATCTACGAAGAAAAGAAAGGTTCTTTTCATTATTTATTTCTATAAAAAATTAATTTGTAACAATTTGTAGCATAATTATCGTTAATTTTTGTAATTCTATATGCGAATATATTTATGATATTATTCACTAACAAGATTTAGTGTGTGGCATATACTCAACCTTTTTTGTTGTTGTATTTATTAGTCACGTATTTGAGGACAATTTAAAAAAATTAATGTTGTGTCGCACACACAATCTAATTACATAATTTACCTTGCTCAAATTTGGCCGCATTGACATCTATCCCAATAATACGAGATGCACCAGATTTCTTGCAACCAAAGATTGCTGCAAGACCAACAGCTCCTAAACCCCATATAGCACAAGTGCTTCCTGGTTCTACTTTGGCAGTATTTAAAGCTGCACCATAACCTGTAGATATTCCACAACCCAACAAGCATACCTTGTCCAATGGTGCTTTAGGATTAATCTGCAACAATAATTTATAATAATTATATAAAAGTTAAATTATTAAAAACTAGTGATTATAAAATATAAATACCTTTGCGAGAGAAATATCAGCTACAACTGTATATTCAGAGAAGGTGGAGCAACCCATAAAGTGTGCGAGTGTTTGTCCCTTACATGTAAAACGAGACGTGCCATCGGGCATTAAACCCTTACCCTGAGTTTCACGGATTTTGCTGCATAAATTTGTTTTCGGTGATTTACAGAATTTACAATCTCCACATTGAGGAATATAAAGTGGTACAACATGATCGCCTACAATCATTCATGTAAACAATAATAAATTAACAAAATATGATGTAAATCAGCTAAAAAAACATTGAAATTTAACTGATATAATACAAAAGAATCTTTATAAATATAATCTGATCAGTCTACCAGGCTGAAATTCGGTGACACCCTCTCCGACACTTTCTACGATACCACTGCCTTCATGACCAAGTATACAAGGAAATACTCCTTCTGGATCCAATCCATCTAGAGTATAAGCATCTGTATGACAAAGTGCTACAGCTACCACTTTGATTCGGACTTCATGTGCTTTAGGCGGTGCTACCTCAATTTCTTCCAAGGATAAAGACTCCTTTTGCTTCCATGCTACCGCAGCTTTGCATTTGATAACCTAAAAATAATAAATTTAATAAATATATAAATGTAATATATACTAATATAAATTATAACTGTTCAGTCATCAGCTAAATGAATTAAATTACTAAATATTATTTGTATCTTCAGACATTGGTTCTGATTGTCCAAATTTCCTTCTTGATTATTTTAAATCTTTTAATTCATTATCTTTATAGTTAACTGACAAATTTAAATTCTCTCTCTTCTCTTAATGTTTTTTAAACAAATTAAATCGGTAGATATTGTTTGTTACAGTAAATATCAAAGAATACATAGTTATTTGATAAAATTTAATTAAGAAATTATCTAATATACACATATATTAACTAATAATGATAGTTTTATGAATTTACAAAAATTATCTCATATGTTTGTTTTATTATCTTTTTTTCAAATTTACTGACACATCAAGTAAACAAGTAATTATCTCAGACAGATGATAACGAATTCTTTCAAGGAAAATTTGTTTATTTTCATGTCTAATTAATTAATTTAATGTGGAAAGAAATCACGTTTACTAATAATCATAAACATTATCTATGCAGAAATTTCAATTGCAAAAAGATGTGTCCAGATTATCGAGCCAAACCTCATCGCGAGCCAAGCATAAATCCGCCTTTATTATCGAGCTGAACCTCGAGAGGCTCGAGCTGAATTTAAAAACATGCTTCGAGCTAAATCTCGTAAGCGTCGCAAGCATTTCTGCGATCCATACTGTGATAACTGATAATTAGACAATGAAAAACCAGGCCTGTAAGTAACTTCTCTTGATAACCTCTCTTTATTTGTTTTCTATCTTATATGTATTAACTTAGATGTTTAATATATATAAAAACGATTTTAAACAGCGTTAAATAATTTTTATAAATTAAATTATTTCATATTATCAAATCTGTACTGTCCTATCTCATCTTTTTAAATTTGTATTATTAGAATCAAATCCATTTTCAAAGATAACAAGTCAAGAAGACAATTTATACTTATGTGACGCCTCTATCCGAATTTCGACAAAAGATAATTCTCACTTGTATGATATGTTTCTAACAGGAATATCGTTTTGATGTAACAAAACATTTCAATAAAAGAAGACAGATATCATATTAAATGACGATCAGTGGGAACCGGCCAATAGTAATTAACGACGTATAAAAAGAAGAAAAATGAACGAGTTTAGAACGTGCAAATTCGCAGAAACAAATGGTAATCGGTACCTTTCCAGCTGTGTCCGACATTATCTTTCCGAAGTAGTCAGGCACTGTCTAGCGTCTTGCTGGAAATAATCCGGAGTCGATCCGACAAACGAGGAAATGAATCTTAACTGATCGTAACGAAAAACCTCAATGTCAGCAGCTATGCTTCAATTCGTTCTGGCGGAGGTAGTTGCGACTGCGCGAGTATGGAAAATCCCATTCATTGGTTGTTCAGATCGCAGCAGACGACAAGAGAATACAAAATCATTCATGAGTTTTTTTTTTCTCTGATTGCGTTAAATCCAATTCAAGCACTTTTTCGATTAAGTTACTTCTCATGATACTCACGAACAGTACTAAATCTCTGTTACGTCCAATTTTAAGCGATTAATTGGAACGAAAGTATTCCCTTCCCCATTTTCACTTAAATTTCTACTATCATATTCACTTCAGACTTGTTAATTTTTCTTTTAATAGCAGATACAAAGTTGATTATTAAATATTGAAAATAAATCATTTGATGTAACGATCGAGATAAACGAATTATAGAAATTTGACGTGTTTTTATTTGTTATCTATCTATTATGCAATGTATTTTGATATATCTACATATATTTTTAATATACATACATTTTATACATATTTTTTATATATTTTAATTCTTCAGTCATTTTTTGTATAGTATGCATATAAAATTATTATGAATAGAATACTGTTTTGAATCTAACGAATTATAAATTATTTAATTAGCCTTTAAGCACGAAATATAGCATTTGCATTTGTACTTTATTCTTGTTTTTGCAGATCAGATATAAAGGGTGAAAGGCCTAGTCTGACGTAAGAAAGTATATCGTTACATAAGTAAATTATCGATGTTTGATAATGTGTACTGATGCAATTTGCTTTTTCTTAACTACCATTACTTGCAAAATTTATATACTCTAAAATTTATAAATTTCAATATTAAGGATGACTTTGATAACTAATGCTTAAATTTAATTTCGGTTTAATTTAATTTTCATCTTTCTCATTGTTAGAACTAGAAAAAGATGAAGAGTAAGTTAAACTGAAATTAAAGTTAAACTATCATTGGTGAAAGCGGACATAATTCACCCAATAGAATTGTTTGCTGCAAACTTTTGACATTTATAATAATTTTTTTTAGATAATAGTGATAATTTTATTGCATATATGTATATATAAGATTAGATTTTGACAAGTTGGATAATTATTAGGTGTTAAACTTAATTCCTGCCGTTTTTCGTCCCCAAAATTGATTTGTTTCGAAGGGAAGATGAATGAATACCTTAATCAAAGTAATTTCCTCCATTTTCTACTTTATTACTAATTAATAATACTTTATTAATAATACTTTGATTAAGGTATTTCTCTCTGAAATAAATCAATTTTGGAAACGAAAAACGGCAGGAATTAAGTTTAACACCTAATATAAAGTACATAAGAGGAAAAAATACAAGTGAAAGATGAGATATCAGGAAACTGCTGTATCAAGTAGAATATGAATGAGTAGGTAGTAAAATAAATCGCCTGAAGTAGAATTTATAGAATTATAAATATTAATATAATTTATATAAAAAATGATTTGCACGATTATTGGATTACTGTCTCAACTCATACATATACATATATCTACATCACAGATAATATAATAAATTTATATGAATCAGGTTGGACAGTTATATTAATATGCTAAATTACTTTTATATAGCCTAGTATACACAGCATTCATCAAAATGCAACATGACAATGCATACCGTTTATTTAATAAAATGATATTATTCGAGAAATTGAAACATCTTTCTGTTCACAAATATCCACAATTATCGATGGACTTTCCTATATAGTTTCAGTGAGGGAAGCATCTTGACGAGAGTGATAAAGTGGCCGATCAAGTAGCCAAGTAATGCACCTATAACACAAGGAATCGGCCAAGTTTGCCAAGGACGATCCCAGTCTAAAGGGATAACAATAGCACCTAGCCAAGTGCCTAATATTGTCATCTGTATGTTGAGTTTTAAAGCATTCGAGAGGATAGTGCTCTTCAGGGAATAAACCCCCGTCAAGATGTCCATTGTATGGTCCTGTCCCAGATGCAAACTGGTGGATACGTAAGTCAATGTGATCAGGGTGATGACTAGCATCGTTGTCTCCTCGTGATCAGTTAAAATAGGTGCACCGAACAGCACGATTGTTAAGTAGTAAAATATCGACAGACAAAACGCATTGAACAAGAACTTGATGATATCTCTCAGATTCTTTGCCCAGAATGTCTTGGCCTTTGGATAGGCTCGTTGTTCGATCTTGATTATAGTAGGTGCCTCCGCTTGCAGCATAGGAAACAACAGTTTTATCACCTCGGCGAATGTTAATATCATCAGCACGGGTAGGAATTTGTACTTGCCGACATTGTACAAATTGTCATTAAAATTCACCAACGTCAGGATTCCAGAAAGGTAGATGCAGGTGAAGGAGCAATAAGACAATAGTAGTCTCTGCTCAGTTTTGGTGCTGACGCTCATTTGGCCGTAATTGTAGATTTCTACCGAAGAATTATAATCTCTGTTTCTAGCGTTCCGTACCGGGAAACCTTTATATATGTTCTGTGCGGCCAACCCACACGTCTATAGATTTATTTTATAAATTTTCCCTCGGATGAGGAAAATTGGGCGCCTTCTGCCCTATCCTTTGGATAATATGGCGCAAAGACACTGTACCAAATTCATAATACTGTCAATCAAACTTGTAAATAGAGTCACTTTTTTCTTATTACATAACAATTCTAAACTCCTCGTACAATTAGCAATGGCCTTAGGCTTTTCAACTTTTTCACAACAGTCTTAAGCCTTTCAACAATACAAAACAATTAAATTTTGTTAATAAACATCGCGCGGCAAAACCGCGATATGCGGGGCGCCTGGGATCGAAGTATCGAACCCGGAATGGATGGATGATGAATTATGGATACACATTTAAGGTTATGTTGTCAGCTGACGTAAACGTCACGTCCAACACGGAGGAGGCTCGAAATTTTCGTTCATCGTTAAACGCTCTTATCTCATCCTAAGAGTGTCACTATGGGTAAAAATAAACAGGCGCAACGTACCAAGAACAATGCCCGGGTAAACACTAATTATACGTAATCGCTTGGTTATAAATTACGCGTGCAATAATAATTTCATAATATAACCTATCACATTTATTGGGTCTGTTCCTTGTAGTTGCATTCTGTGTTTTGCCTCACTCAAAATGAAATAGATATGATATCAACGTTGCAGAGATAGAGGAGAAAATAAAATGTATAAAAGATTCAGCTACAAAGAACAAATCTACTAACAAATCTATAACATATGTCGTCACTCAGCAATACTTATCATTACATGAACAGATAATTTGCTTGTGATAAGTCAAAAACAGATTTTACAAAGTGTCTGCTAGAAATTTTATGTATCTGCAAAGTGCCAGCAGAAATATAATAATAAAATCTGTTAACAGAATAATGGTTGAATTGTCTGTAGAAACTAAGTAGAATTTGCTATTTTGTGACTATTTAAATGATATATTCTGTTTAAATAATTATGAAATAACAGTCTTCTTGGTTTCTGTTTGGTTTTTGCTGGTAGAATTTGTCAGATCATGTTGACTATGCAGAATATTAACTTAATACAGACTCGAGTAATGTCAGTCTAATGCAATATTCTGCAATATTCGAATCTATTAATAAATTGCTAGCATATTGCTAATATTTTGCTTACTAATAAGGAGAGAACACAGTGGACTCGTCATGGATTTTGATTTCCTTCAACATGATGAATCTACATAAAAAATAAATTATACCATGTCCAAGGATTTTGTTGAATGACTCAATAATAGCTCAATAATAGATAATTTTTGAGCCATGGTGTAACAAAGGTGTAAAACTTGTAAAAGTGTAAAACTCAAGCACAGACCTTTGATATGCCATAGCTGAAAAACTGTTTATTAAATCATTATTAACAGCCTTGTGGCTGTGACATCTTTTGTTCGTATTACATATGAAATAAGTTGTGAAAACTAACTCATTTCACCGGATTAAATTTTCCATATAATTAGTCCTTCCATTCAAAGCTTATTCAAAATGCTTAAATACAACTTACATGACACTACTTATTTTTTATATAGATTCTATATTGAAGAAGATCAAAATCCATGATGAATGAACTGTGTCCTCTCCTTGTAAATATGATAATTCATATTTTATACTCTTAATATTTTTTAAATATTTGTACTCTTAATGGTATTTTTTAAATATTTGGTACAATTTTTTAACATTTTTTTAGCCATCAAATAGTAGCCGCAGTGCAGAACTTTTGGGGACTGCAATGCCTAATTTTGTTGGGTTCTCGGCAGTTAAGGACGGAGGATATGTTCCTGTTCTACCTGGATTATCCTTATGTTCCCTAAACGAGGTTGAGATGAACAATATAGATTCTAATTTTCAAGTTATATTAAAAAAGATGAGTAAGAAAGATGCTACAACAAAGTTTAAGGTAATTAGTTTGTTTAGTCATTGATTTAGTCGTTGATCAATTTACAGATTTTGTAAACTAATATATGTATGTGTAGGCATTACAAGAATTTGCAACTCTATGTCAAGATGCAGAATTGTCAGCAGTAGAAGGTATGCTACCATTTTGGCCTAGATTTTATTGTGCTCTGTCCATTGATATAGATCACAGAGTGAGAGAAGCTGCACAGTTGGCACATGCAGCTCTTGTCAAGCGTGTAGGCAAAGGTATTGCAATGTATCTTAAACAATTGGCTGGTGCTTGGTTTACCTCTCAATATGACACATATCCTCCGGCGGCATCAGCTGCTATCAACTCTTTCAACAGCACATTTCCACCTTGGAAAATAGTTAATGCGATTATTCATTGCCAGTGCGAAATTTTATTATACATTAGCAACAATGTAATTGTGCACACGGCTCAAACGTTATCGACGCAGAAGTCTCTTACTAACGAAGAAATGGAAGCTAAATATGAAAGAGTACTGGTAGCAAATCTCCAAGGATATAATTGTTACTTCAAGAAAGTGCCGCTTGACGAAATCGATAAAACCTTGGAGATTCACAATAAAATTTTAAGCAGTTCAAGGTTTTGGAAACTGGCTAAACACGATGCTTTGCCAATAAAAACAGCTTTTTTTAATGTATTGACATCGATAATGGAAAACGCGGGAAAATTATTAGAAAATGAAAAGAAAAGGACAGTGACCACTATCATGAATAGTCTTGATGAATCTGAACCTGTAATTTTATCAGTTGTGTGGGAATCAATGCTCATAGCTACAACGAAAATTGATGATTGGCATCTTGTCGTAAATATTAATAAACTCGTACTCCCAAAATTGTGGCATACTTTACGATCCGGTGGTCAGTGTTGTGCTAGCACTGTTTATCCAAATCTGCTACCTTTTGTCAGTCAATTTCCAAAGTTCAACATTGATCTAACTAATCTGTATACGAATTTTTTTAACAATATGCGTCAAGGATTTTCCGTCAAAAGTGTGCAAATGAGCCGTTCAGAAACGCTTGCTGTAACAACATCTTTCATTGAATGTTTACGTTATTCGATCCTCATAAACACCGAAAATGTAGATTTATGCGTTCGGCTCCTTAAGGAACAGCTTATGCCTGTTATAGAAGCTTGCATGACGGATAGTATTTTTATGAAACAATGTTGTTTTATCGAGATTACGCATCTAATACGATATTGGAGTAAAAATCGTAATAATGAGAAATATAAATCATACATTTCTTTAATGGAACAGTTCTGGATTGAATTGCCATTATTGTTCGAAAAATATATGAATATGTCAAAGGGGATCGTATGTACTGCAGATGGAAAAGATTCTCATATCGAATTCTTGTTAAATTTGAAAGATGTACCAGATCGCACCCGTAAGAAATTAAAAGTAAAATTTTCCGATCCAAGTGATTCAGTTACCGTGAGCGAACCAAAGGTAAAAGTTGTCGATGTTTATGCGGATACTGTTTTTAATGCGGAACTTTGCAAGTTTGTAAATGGACTCTGTACAATTTACTTTAATTCGATAAACGTATCGATAAACGATCATCAAAACATAGAATATATCGAACAGCTGAATAAACTTATGAAACATTTTGCAAGTAAAGAATTATTCATTGCATTTTCAAAATCATTTAAATTTGATGAGAACTTCTTTGAGTTTTACGATAAGAGCTTGAAACCTTTATTGATGCAAAAATCAGAAATGGCTGAACAAGTTCTTGAATTATTATTCTATTTTATTACATATATAAATGACGCAGAAAAGGATACAGTTTTAAAATCATTAATCAAATTAAATGATATTGCAATAATAAGAAGTGTCATATATTGCTGTTTATCTGAACATAACAGAAATGATAGCGTAATTAAAAAATGGTATACACAAGCTAATATACCTAAACTATTAGTTGATATGACCAAAGAAATTGCTTCATGCAGTGATGAACAGTATGATTTCGAAAAAAATCAAAAATTGATTTTATCAGCTTTTGAAATTCCAGAAATTAGAAGTTTATTAATAAATAATGAAGGAACAAGTGAAATTGTATCGATTCTATGTGATTCATTAAATGGAAGAGATGATACTTGCTCCATGCAATTTGTCGCATTTATTACGAAATTGATGACTTTAATGTGGAAACATAATCGAACAATATCAAGTGCTGTACAAATATTGGAAACACTTTTTGAGTTATGCACTCGAGAACATGATGCTTTAACTGCTGATACTATACGTAATTGTTGGAAAGAAGGATTCGTAGAAAGTAGTCAAATATTGTCTATTTTTGAATTTAATGATCTTATTAAAAGATACGGTATTATTATCTGGAGTAAAGTATATAATATACATGCAAGTCCTATTAAAAATACATTAGGTAATTTGGCAGCAGATGTTTTAGAAGTTATAATTAATAATATTGACATTACAAAATTTGATTGCGTTGAAGAAACTATTCTGTCATTCCTAACGGCATCTGACATAAAGTTGTGGATTGAAGAGATAACCGTTGTTGCAATATATGGTGAAATGTTAACAGGCTATTTATATATGTCAAATGCTGAGAAAAAAATACGGATTTTACAGCAACCTACATCTATCAATATAACAAACGATATCTCGTCGGATAATATAATAAATTGCTTATCATGGGCTTTATTTATTACAGATTTGCTTAATAATTTGTATGAGAGATTAAAAGACATTGATTTAGAAAATGCTAATACAGTTTCAGAAGAAAATTTTGAATTAAACGATTTAAATTTACCAGGAATCACGGAGATACTAATAGATATCATATACGTAGTTAGCATAGTAGACATATACAGCAAGCATTATAAATCCATTAAATATTATAATAATGTTGAAAAACTTCGTAATTTGCTAAAAAATAGTTTTGTTAATTTGCATAAATATTTTGCAAAAAATATCTATGATGATATATTATCACGTATACAAACAAATCAGAAAAGTTATGGATGTATGCTACCATATATAATTTATACATATTACAATGAATTTTTCTCGAAAGATAAACTTGAGAATACCATGAAATATTTTGAAAATTACAATAGTAATGAAATTGCAGGAGAATATGATGATGAAACGAATATTCAAATATTACAAATCTTAAATTGGCCACAAAATATTTCACAAATATTAACACACGGCGAAATATATTCAATAATTGCCACAAGAACTATGATATCTGACACTCCCAAAGATCAACCTCCTGCACTATATGATCCTATTATGGATCATATAATTACGTTACATTTTAATGAACTTTCTGCAGTTTTGGATCATGATATTTCTGATACTTCATGGGATAAATTGTTTTTGCAGCTAGAAGTTATAAGATTGTTTGAGACAGTTGTCCAACATATTCCACAGAAGTTGAAACAAGAATATTGGGATGTTATCTTGATATTTCTCACAAAGTGGCAACAGTTATATAACAACGCTAAACATAATTATAGTGACATTAAAATAACAATGTTGATAATAGCATTTAGTCAATTGTATTATGCAGTTGAAACTCTGATGAACAAACATAAGTTGAAACCAATACCAGAATTACCTTCAACACTCTTGGATGAATGGAAAAATGTAATTGCTAGCAATATATATAATGGCATTGTTCAAACTTGGATATTTTATGCAGATTTATGCAATCAAAATACGGATATTATAAAATCTATTATACCATTGAATTACTTGGGAGAGGCAATTTGTGCATTTGACAGTAGCATATTATTCAAAAATTATGATGAACAAATCGAAACGATTGATTTCAACAAGATGTTAATGCTATCTCTGAAATTACTACAATCTCCTGTTCCTAGCATTCAATTGGGTGCCTATTATGCATTGAAATATATGGTACCGGAACTTGTACAACATGATAAAGTTCTTGTTGAATCTGACAACTTCGAGTCGAGCAATCTCAATATTAAAAAATTCGAAGAAGTACTATCAAATATACAGACTATTATAAATACAATGCTTATGGAATTCAAGTGAGTCTGTGCTTTATATTAAATTTTAATTGAATCATCATATTTTTTTAATCATTTATTGTAATATTGTCTTTTTTTAGATTATGTGATACAGTCACCTGCACAATCCAACCGTTTACAGATTCTTACACATATACATTAGGATATCTATTAACATGGGCAATTGTATTAGATATTTGCGAAAAGTCTCATAGTGATTTACGATATCAATATGCTGAAATATTGAAGTAAATATTTTAAGTATTATAATGCACATTATTCATTTCTGTGATTTCTGTAATGTCCTATTACTTATAACATTTTAAATTTATTTATTATATTTTTTACTAATTATCATTTACTGTGAATTTTAGAATTAAACTTTTCCCTTATCTGTTGGATAATATCTTTAAGTTAATACCTATGGAAGCGCTACAAGATAATAAAAATAAAACTGTAAAGCTGCTAGAACTATTTACCACTGCTCCAGTTTTTCGTTTTAAAGGTACTATTAAAATTAATATTACATTTACATTAAATTTGATTTATTATATAGTTTTATTATATCGCAATATATGTATATTATAGAAAGTTGGACTGAAGAGAGATTAGATCATATTGTGTGTTGGTTATATACAAATTGTTTGCGGCTTCTACCAGTATTAGTTAGACAATGGCTAAGTACAGTTGATAGCAGAGTCAGTGCAACAGTAGACAAGATTACAAGTCATTATGTTAGTCCTATGTTATGTGAAGATGAACTTCTTTATAGCAGATTACAATTGGCTAATGTTGAAAATATGCAGGTACGGTTTATTCTCTCACAAACTCTGCTTCGTCCATATACAAATTTTAAGATTAAAGATTTATTTGAGGCATTATTTCAATAGGTTGTAAAAATTTCTGTTTATTGTCAAGTTTATCGTGTGCTTTGTGTTGTTATAGGTAAAAGTACATTCAACAGCAAGGGAAGTAGTAGCTATGTATCAAATGGAAGATACAAAATTAGAATTAAGCATAGTGCTACCACCAAATTATCCTTTAGGTAGAGTGAAAGTAGAATCTGGTCAACAGGTAGATGGTATGGCAAAATGGAAAAATTGTCATATGCAACTGTCTAAACTTCTCACACATCAAGTAAGTCGCAATATATTTATATATATATATTAAGAAATATATATTCCAAATATATATATTTTTGATAGAATGGCTCTGTTTGGGACGGTCTTTTAATGTGGAAACGTAATTTGGATAAGAAATTTGCCGGTGTCGAAGAGTGTTATATATGCTTTAGCATTTTTCATATCAGTACATATCAAGTACCAAAATTGTCATGTCATACTTGTCGTAAGAAGTTTCATACTCGCTGTTTGGTGAGCATACATTATTTATTAACACATTTATTATTTTTAATATATTACTATATCAAATATGTTGTAATATCTTTCTGTATATTATATATATGTTTTTTATTTCAGTACAAGTGGTTCAGTACAAGCCAAAAATCGACCTGTCCAATTTGCAGAAACGTATTTTAATCTGGTTTGAAAATATGTTTTTTTTACATAGAAACAAATTATCCATGGTACAAAAATGAAGTTAAAACATTACAGTGAAAGAAAAGGAGAAATTACGCGAAACAAATATGTATTATAAAATTAATTTAACAAGAACTGAACGTATAATGTGATATAATATAGTGTATAACAAATTATAAGACAATATCATTGCAAGGAGAAATAATTGCTACACACATATTCGAACAACTTGCATGACACAGTCAAGAGAATTCTCTTTTTTATTTATTATTGCTTCTCGTGATGATTTCTATTATTCTGTATTGATTTTTTCATTTTTAAATCAATATAATCTATACTGATCGCGCAAATATAATCTTCATTGTATAATAAAAATACGAAAATATAGTATTCCATTTAAGGTATACATGTGTGTGTGTGTATATGTATATATATATAT